AGAAAGTGTTTATTACATCTTTTGAATGCTTACCACCAGATTCAAGTTTGGTCATTTGGCTGTTAGCGTGAATATATATGTATATATATATATATATATATATATAAAACCATTAGTCATAAGTGGTATAAGTATTTTTTAGAAACTCCCACATGTATTGGAATTCATCATACATTTATTTATCTACACTCTTTTAAAAATATTTTATTTATTATTTTATGTGTATGAGTGTATTGCCTGCATATATGTAAGTACACCCGTGTCGTGCAGTGCCTGAGGAGGTCAGAAGGGGTGTTGGATTTGACTGGAACTGGAGTCACAGATGGTAGTTAGCTGCCATGTGGGTGCTGGGAATTGAACCTGGGTCCTCTGCAAGAGCAGTCAGTGCTCTTAACCACTGAGCCATCTCTCCAGCTCCTCTCTCTTTTCCTTTCTTTTTTTTTTTTTGAGACATGGTTTAACCCCTGTAGCCCCAGCTGGCCTGGAGCTCTCTATGTAGATCAGGCTGGCCTCTACCTCATAGAAATCTACTTGCCTCTGCCTCCCAAGTGCTGGGACTAAAGGTGTGTGCCACCATATCCTGCCTTTTTTTTTTTTTTTTTTTTTTAATTTTTTAAAGACAGGGTCTCATGTAGCTTAGGCTGGCTTCAAACTTAATATGTAGTGGAGGCTGGCCTTGAACTCCTGATCTTTCCATTGCTACCTCCCGAGTGTTGGGGTTACAGGCAGGCACCACAGTATTATGTAGTGCTGGAGATTGAACCCAGAGCTTCCTGTGTGCTAGGCAAGCACTCTACCAACTGAGCTATATCTCTAGCACACCTTGGATAGAATTCCCATCTGCCTTTTTTTTTTTTTTTTAAATGAGACAGGGCCTTACTATATAGACCAGGTTGTCCTAGAACTCACAGTGAGCTGCCTGCCTCTGCCTCCTGAGTACTGGAATTAAAGGCACATGCCACACTTTTTTTTTTTTGGTCTCTTTGAGACTGGGTCTTTCTGTAGCTACAGCTGACCTGGATTCACTATGGAGGCCTGGCCTTGAACTCAGAGAGATCCGCCTGCCTCTGCCTCCCAAGTGCTGGGACTGAAGGCATGTGCCAGCATGCCAGACTCCACACCACACCTTTTTATTTGATTTTCGTGTGTGTATGTGTGTGTGTGTGTGTGTGTGTGTGTGTGTGCATACAAGTATGTACAAGTGCGTGTGGGGGCCGGAGGTTAACCTTAGATGTTGTTGCTCAGGCTCACCCACCTTGTTTTTTTGAGATAGGGTCTCGAACTTGGTGATTAGGCTAGGCTGGCCAGGGACCCCTAGGGATCCTCTTGTCTCTGTCTCCCTAGGACTGAGATTAATGCATGTCACCACACTGGGCTTTTTTACATGGGTTTTGGGGCTCCAACACAGTCCTCATGCTTACCAGCAAGCACTTACTTTCCTGACTGAGCCATCATCCCAGCCATTTTTTTTCTGTATCCAAGGATGGTTTGGAATTCATTACTTAAGCCAGACTGGCCTTGAACTTGAAGGGCTTCTCTAGTCTTTCTCTCTAAATGCTGGGATTACAGGTGCATACCATAGTGTTGACTTTGTTTGCTTGTTTGAGACAAGCTTTCACTGTTTTGCTCAGGCAGCCTGAAACTTAGGGCAATCATTCTGCCTTAGGCTCCTGAATACTGGGATTACAGGCCTGAGCCACTGGGACTGGCCTGTTCCTTATTTAAAATTTGTCATTTTGGCTGGGTATGGTGGCACATGCCTTTAATCCCAGCACTGGGGAGGCAGAGGCAGGTGGCTGTCTGTGAGTTCAAGGCCAGCCTGGTGTACCTAGTGAGTTCCAGGCCAACTGGGGCTACAGGGAGACCCTGTTTCAAAAAGACCAAAGAATGAATAAATGAATGGATGAATGAATGAATAAATAAATACATTTGCCATTTTGAAATAATTTCATTAAAAAAAAATTAAAGTCACAAAGAAGTTTCAAAAGTGGTTTCCCACTGGGTGTGGTGGCGCATGCCTTTAATCCCAGCACTTGGGAGGCAGAGGCAGAGGCAGGCAGATCTCTGAGTTCGAGGCCAGCCTGGTCTCCATAGCGAATCCAGGACAGCTGGGGCTACAGGGAGACCCTGTCTCAAAAAGACCAAAAAAAAAAAGTGGTTTCCCAGTGATAACAATATGAATGGTCTAAACCCTTAAAATCACAATATTAAAACTAAGCTATAGATACTTTTTTATTTTTTATTTTTTTTGTCTTTTTGAGACAGGGTCTCCCTGTAGCCCCAGCTGTCCTGGAACTCACTATGTAGACCAGGCTGGCCTTGAACTCATAATGATCCGCCTGCCTCTGCCTCCCAAGTGCTGAGCTATAGATACTTTTAAATCAGTTTTTATGCTAGCATATAAAGAAATGACGTTCAATATGATGTTTTGTATTTCTGAGACGGGGTCTCATGCAGAATAGGCTGGCCTTGAACTCACTGTATACCGAGGCTGGCCGTATACTCCCCATCCTCTTGCTTCCATCTCTCAGTGCTGGGATTCTTGGACAACCATGCCAGTCCATTGTGACATTTTCATACATATCATTCTACTTTAAAATATAGGTCTTATTTGGATTTTACTGGGTTTTATATTAGGTGTAGTTTTCTTTTTGATATATTGTCAACCCTCAGTATCTGCAGGGGAATTGAATCTAAAATCCCTTTTAGATACTAAAATTGGTAGATGCTTGAGTTCCATTTATTTATTTATTTATTTATTTATTTATTTATTTATTTAGTCTTTTTGAAGGGTATCCCTGTAGCCCCAGTTGGCCTGGATTTGCTATGGAGACCAGACTGGCCTCAAACTCCCAGAGATCAGCCTGCCTCTGCCTCCCGAGTGCTGGGATTAAAGGTGTGCGCCACCACACCTGGCAAATCTTATCATGTACCTCAGGCTGGCTTGAACTCATGATCTTCCTGCTTAGCCTCCTGAGTAGCTGGAATTACAGCTATATACCACTACAGAAACTTTAAGTTCCTTATGTAATGTAAAGTGGTGAATTACTTGCTTATCAGTCATATATACACACACCATTCTGTGCATGTACACCATCCCATATATTACAAATCATGTCTCAATTGCTTATAATTCCTAATGAAATGTGAAAGCTATATAAATAGTTCTTAAACTGTATTGTTTGGGGAATAATGAGAAGAAAAAGGGTCTATGCTTGTTTAGTATGGGTATAGCCATCATTGACCTAACTACGTAGTGTAGATCATCATCAACATTCTTTTTGAAGTGTTCTCCATTCATAGTTGGTTGAATTTGAGGATGCAGAAGGGTCACTATATGGTATTTGTGTGTGTGTGTGTGTGTGTGTGTGTGTGTGTAAATACAGTTTAAATGGAGTTAGGGCATAAGGGGTGATAATGCTCCCTCCAATATCCATAGACCACTCAAGAAAACACCAATGGCAGGCATAAGAAACCACCCTCTGAATTGTTGGTCAAGTGAGTTCAAGAGACTCCCAAAATAGTATAGACTATTGCCATTGTCAAAGATTAGACAATGGAAAGACCTTCTATGCTCCTGGATTGCTCTGAGTTCAAGGGCAGCTAAGCTACTGTGGGCTACAGTGTGAGACTCTGTCAGAAAAAAAAAAGTAGGGCTGGAGAGATGGCTCAGTGGTTAAGAATACTGACTGTTCTTGCAGAAGACCTGGGTTTAAATCCCAGCACCCACTTGGCAGCTAACAACTGTCCGTAACTCCAGTTCCAGGCTATCTGAGAGCCTCTTCTGTCCTCCACAGGCATTGCATGACATGGGTACACTTACCTATATGCAGGTATAATACTCATACACATAAAAAAAACAAATAAAATATTTTTTATAAAAGTAGAGGAATGTAGAATCTCAGAGCAGGTGATGCTATGTTGTTACTGAAAAGGGCCAATATGTATTCTCATCAGTAACCAAAGAAGGCAGGGATACTGTCGTCTTCATTGAAAAGAAGTTAGGTATTTTCCTAAAGACTTATGTGCTAAGTAGTCTTCCTAGATTTTTAATATTGAACCTTCAGAGTTTTTTTTTTCACTAAATTTCCCAGAAAATAGAATTAGCCCCACATGAATGTATATTTTCTCAGCCCAATTGATAATAGTGTTGCAAAATATGATTGATGTTTCTAACTATTTGAAATTGTGATTTCATATATGTGTACATAATGCAAAAGTTAAAGTTAACAGGAAACGCTAATCTCAAAGGTATCCAAGTTTAATTTTTTTTTTCCTGGTCTTTTTGAGACAGGGTCTCCCTGTAGCCCCAGCTGTCCTGAAACTCACTATGTAGACCAGGCTGGGCTTGAATTTACAGAGATTTGCCTGCCTCTGCCTTCCGAGTGCTGGGATTAAAGGTGTGCGCCACCACGCCTGGCCTCCAAGTTTAATTCTGTCTGCTTTAAGAGATAGTTAATTCAATCCTTGTGGACTGCAGTATCCTCTGCAATGGAACTGATACATTACAGGTACTCAGAAGCATTCACTTTCTTTTGTCATTCTAATCATAAAAAGGTAAGATGGAAAAGGGAAATTCACACATGAAATGGAAAGACTGATTTTCAGATGTATTTATACCACTATCTACAACCAATGTGTCTTCAGGCAGCTACAAGCTTCTATGTACCTTGATGAGCATTTCCCAGTCCTGCCTTCTTACTGATGCCAATGCGTATTGAACTTTTTCAGTGACAGCATAGCATCACCTGCCCTAAGATGGCTTTGATTTTCTTTTTCAGTGTCTTGGAGTTTTCCTTGTAGAGGTCTTTCAATTCTTTTGTTAGTCATATTCCTAGGTACTTAATTTTGGGGGTCCTATTATGATTTTTTTTTCTATTTCTTTCTTTGAGAGTACATTCTCTGAAAGTATATATGAAGGCTACTGGGATTTTTATATTAATTTTATATCCTGAAACTTTACTGCAAATTTTTATTATAAACAAATGTTTTCATTTTAGGGTGAAAGAAAATGTCTTTATTTAAAGCCCGTGATTGGTGGTCTACTATACTGGGAGAAAAAGAAGAATTTGATCAAGGATGCTTGTGTCTGGCTGATGTTGACAATAGTGGGAATGGGCAAGGTAAGCAATTTATGGGCTTTTGTTTTTTTCCAGTATTGGGGATTAAACTTGTTCTCCCACATGCCAAGCAGGTTTTCTGCTCTTGGACTATAATCTCCACCTCCCTTTGGAACAAAGCTTTAAAGATAGTAAATAAAATGATTTAGTTTGAAAAGTATGTGCTTATGGGGCTGGAGAGATAGCTCAGCAGTAAAGAGCACTGACTGCTCTTGCAGAGGACCCGGGTTCTATTCCTAGCACCCACATGGCAGCTTCGAACCGTCCTTAACTCCAGTTCCAGGGGAATCCGAAGCTCTCTTCTGACCTCTGTAGCATTGTAGGACATGGGTGCACTCACATACATCAGGCAATACACTCGTACACATAAAATAAAGATAATAAATAAAAAAATTAAAAAAAAGTATGTCCTTAGGGGGCTGGCTCAGAATTTAAGAACACTGACTGTTCTTGCAGAAGCCCTGGGTTTGAATCCCAACACCCACAGGGTAGCTAATAACTGTTCAAAACTCCAGTTCCAGGGGATCCTCTGGCCTCTTCTATCCTCCACCAGCATTGTACCAGAAGGTGCACTTACCTACAATGCAGGCAATACACACATACACATAAAATAAAAATAATAAATAAAATACTTTTAAAAAATGTGCTTAGGTCCTCACCTGCAGGACCCACAGGCCTCTCTCCAATCTGCAGGCTTCTCTCTCCCGGGTAAGTCCATTGTGCCCTCGGGAGCCTTGACTCCCCCAGCCTCACTCACCCTCCCATCTCCCCTGCCAGTCTCTCCTCCTAGCCTGGGTCCTGTCCCATTCCTTGTCTTGACACCCCAGACACCTGGGGAACCACCACTGCTTCCTGATCCTTTGCATCCAGACCAACCCAGTTCCTTCTGGGGTCCCCAGGAGCACTCTGGGCCTGGCCCCACCCTCCCCTCCCTCTGTTTTCCTGGGCCTGCAGAAACCTCAGGCCTCTCTCCTACCACAGGCCACTCTCTCCAGGGTAGGTCAATCTTGCCTTCCCTGCCTTGATTCCCCTAGGCTCACTCACCCTCCAATCTCTACCACTGGTCTCTCCTCCTAGCCTGGATCCTGTCACATTCCTTGTTTTGGCGCCCCAGACCCCTGGGGAACCACCACTGCTTCCTGATCTTGTGCATCCAGACCAACTCAGTTCCTTCTCAGGTCACCAGGGGTGCTCTGGGCCTGGCCCCACCCTCACCTCCCTCTGCCTCCCTGGGTCTGCACAACCCACCAGCCTCTTTCCTGGACAACCGGAGCTGACCTTCCCTCTTCCTGGTCCTTTGCATCCAGACCAACCCAGCTCCTCAGTGCAGTCCCTAGGGGCCCTTGGGAGCGCCTCCTGCCCCCATCTTCCTTTGCATCTCTGGGTGGCACGGCCACCAACTGCCATAGACCAGCATCTTTCCTGGGCCTGGCTCCCAGGTCAGTCCAACCCCCAAATTCCTGAGGCCAAAATCTTTCCTAGAGGGATCCAGACATTAGGAGAAAGCCAGAGAGTATCTGACCCTCATCTGACTGGGGGCTCTGTGGGGGCTCCTGAAGATAAAAGCAATCTGGCCACCCCAATATAAAAGCAGAAGAGAGAACTGGAAGTTTAGGCCAACCAGCTTTGCATGCCCCAAAAGTAAACC